ACTCATAAATCATAATAAAAATATTATTTTCTATCCATTAAATATATATTTTTAAAATATTAAATTTCTTTTATTTTCCTTTTTCAAATATATTTTATAAAAAATAAATAAAGAAAAAGATAAAAATAATTCAAGACAAAATTAATTTTTATATATTTCAAATATATTTTATAAAATATTATAATTTAAAATATTTTTATTTTTATTATGATATGATTTATCAATAAAATAATATTTTTAATAGAAAATAGATTTTAAAAAGATTAAAATTAAGTTAAAAATTTCAAAATAATTTTGTTAAAATTACATATCATTTCAAAAAATTAAGTAAAAATTTTTATATCATTTTCAAAAATAAATTGATTAATCTATTCAAAAATATAAAAACTTTATATTCATATAAAATAAAAAATATAATTTAAAACATTTTATATTTTTTATAAAATGTATTTTATAAAATATATTTAAAAAGGAAAAATAAAAGATTTTAATATTTTAAAAAATAAATTTTTTGGATAAAAATAATATATTTTATTATGATTTATGAGTAAAATAATATTTTTAGAAAACTTTTTTGTTTTTAAAATGCATTAAATTTTTAAAAAAGGAATTTGAAAATTTTAACGTAATTTTAAGTTTTGGATATCTATTTTCTATTTAAAACAAAATTATATTTAATAAGTTATATTATACAAAAAATATGCAAATATAAATATAATATTTATATAACATATGTATGAAATATATAAAATTTTGAGATAGTTTTGTTTTTTGGTTTCTAAATTTTGAGATAATTCTCTTTTGGTCCTTCATTTGTCACGCAAAACACTAACTAATGATTATCATATGATGTCAGTTGGTATTTTTCATCAATTTAAATGATTTCATAGATGAAATGACCAAAATAGGACAACTTTGGGCAATTAAATAATCAATTAAAATTTTTTAGAATTTAAGAATTAAAATAGAATTTTGATCAAAGTTTAGGGATTAAAGATGCTGTTAACCCTTTTCTTTTTTAATTTTTACATGTTTAATTGCAAGAGATAATTTGAGCATGGTTCCCACTACCCATTTAATAATCAAATCGGTTTCAAGATTAAACCTCTCAAATCCAAATTACAATCGTTGTTAAGAAAATTAAAAAAAAAAAACTGATTAAAAGGTATAAAAATTTCTTCATACAAAAACTTTTAAATCATTTACTTTTAAACATGTTTTGTTTTCTTCACAAGCAATATTAAATAATATTTATAGTTAAAAACAAAGTGTTCATACAATATTTTTATAAATGACAATTATATATCCTTTATGTTAACAAATGTCTTGAAAGATGATATTTTATACATAGATAGATAGAGAGAAAGAGAAAAAAGAGTAAGAGAATTAAACCGATTGACTGTAAGTGGATGGGTCCAATCTGAATATAAAACTACAAAAAATTAAATATTTATTAGATATTAGATAACATACTTTAATATGTCATTCTTGTAATTTTTGTTCATACTCTTGTCACGATTTTACGATCAAAAATTGCAGTTACTACATTGATATAAAAATCATTAAATTAAATCAAACAAATAAATCAATTAATAAATTAACACATAATTAGATAAACTTAACATATTTAATTCAATAAAAAAATAGTATCCAATTAAATGAAACTCTAAATGGAATTAGATATATGAGAAAAATTCGAAAGTTTAGATAAAGGTTGAAAATATTATTATTATTATTATTATTATTATTATTATTATTATTATTTAAACCAATCCAAGAGGAAAAATATGAAATCTTAGAGAAATTAAATCCAATAATTAGACAAAAGATCATTTTTAGAAAAAAGATAAAAAATTCTACTCTTATTTTCAATATTTTTAGATAGAGAATAAATACTCTTTCAAATAAAAATCAATTATACAATTATATTAAGAGTCAAATTAAGGCTTTGTTTAAAAAAAATTAAAGATATGTTTTTGGGATTAAGTGACTGAAATGTAGTTTAGCTTTACTGCATTATCTTGTTAAATTAACGATTAAATCAAATAGTACTACTTATTTAATTAATCTATCATTTTCTCTTTTTTTTTTTGGGTATATTATGTGTTTCCTTTTTTTTTTCTTTTCCTAAAGATAAATTAAATTAACTTGTAGGCCATAAGACTTTTAAAATCTACTAATACCTAAAAGATTCTTTGTGATTGTGAAAAAAAAAAAAAGGAGATTAGGGCTGTCTAATTGGGAATTAGTGGGATGCAGGTCTTATTTCACTCTCATTTACATTTCTACCACACATGCACATGCACATGCACGGTTAGGGTATGTTCTAAGCCAATTGGATTGAATATACATATACTATTATTAATGTATTATTATCCCTTGTTATTGATGTAATAAAAAATTTTTTCATCATTAATATGAGGATAAAAAGTTATGAAAGTACTAATCAAATAAAACCCATGAAACACAAAGTTCTTGCAAGGGAGTTATAAAGAGTTACAATTTTGAGATCCTTATACGTAAAAGCCATGTTCTTAAAACTATTATTGAACATTGTTTTGTTGATACATTTCATCAATAATACTAAAAAATTGGTACATGTAAAACCTCATTACTTGTGAAGTAAGCATCCGGCCTCATAGGTTGAAAGTATAGGGATATTTGGGGCTAACATGTGGATGCTTGTTAGAGAACAAGTTCACTGAATATAGCTTGATATGAGAACTTTATTTGGTATTTCACTCAAGTGTTTATAAAAATATTCTCATGTGTCAGTCATGTAACTAGTCATTAGACTTGAGACACCAATCCATCTTATATGTGAATCATCATTAGGGATGGCAACGGCTCACTATCAAGGTGGGTATCGTACTCTTTGTCCCTTTACCTAATTATGATACTCATAATTGTATCGTACTTTTACCTATTAAGTAATATTTTTGCATATTTATTTTCATATCCGATGGGTATGTAAAAGGTAATCCGAATATCCAATTATAATTTTAAAAAATAATAAAATAATCTAAAAAATTATACATACTTTCAATCCAACAAAATTGTTAAAATATTAATTTCAATTTTTTAAGTAACAAAACCAACAAAAATTAAAAATTAAACAAGTCCTTAAAAACATAAAAGTGGTGTTTAAATAATAATAATGGAAATAGTAAATTAAAGAAAATAAAAAATACTAAAAGTTATCTTTAAATAATAATATAATCTAACTAAAGTGCTCTAAGAAGTAGTTTGTAAAATACTTTCGTAATTTATATATTTTCATAATAAATTTATTTTAATTATCAAAAGCAAGGAGAAATAAAAAATATATAAATAATATTATATATGTCAAGTAACGAATGGCCCACAGGGTAGGTGTTATCTTACCTATCTTCATATCTGAACTCGTTTATCCCATTAACATAATCAAGTACAAAATTCTCCTTATACCCATACCCTTTTGGGTCAAGGAATGGGTAACTCCTCAGGTGCAGGTGAAATTGTCATCCCTCATAATCATGCTTCGATTTTACCTCTAAGTCAAGGCATCTGCGTGCTTTTGAGTATGATTTGAAGCATATGAAGGTGGATCAGTGGTCAAAAAAGAATTCATCATCTGAAGTGATATAAGTAAGTGATATGAAAGGATATATCTCATTTGCTCTTGGCTTTAGTTAACTTATAAAGTCTTCAATCGAAACAAGATGAATTTAGAAGAAATAATTTCTAGCTAAATTCATGCATGTTGACTATAAGCTACAAAACTAACATAGAAGGTTTTTATTGGTAGACATTACGCACCATACTCATGTTCTTTAAGGATATGTGATGGAAGGACTGAATTGCACTAATAGACTAAAAACTAAAATGTTATGTCAAGACTATCTTGACTCTTTGACATTTAGATGGTCATGATGCATTACTAGATGTTGCTCATGATCTATGAATATATGTCGGTTATCTTTGATCGCTTTGAGTTTATATTCATTATGAACATGTTGGAAACTTAATAGGTTACACAAAATAATTGCAAAGCCAAGTTTAAAATTGGGATTCAATTAAATAGAACTTAATTGCATAAAAGTTAAATTTGTGAAAAACTTAATTATGTGTTCAATTAAATTAAGGTCCAATTTAGAATTATTGTACTTATAAATTAGGGTTTAGGCAAGATAATACTTATATATGGATAACTTTAAGCCTTTATCGCACCACTTAAAGATGTATACAGAGATATGCAGCCAACATGTTTCCTTCACTTGTTTTCACCCTAGCCACACATGTTGGAGAACATAAGGAAAAAGTTCCTCCTTTGAGGTTCGATCATGGAAAAGATGAAGCTTTTGATTTAGGCCTTCAGCCGCCTTGCTAGCACAAGAGATTTCTATATCTTGGAGAAGGATTTGAACTTGCATTATGTAGATCATCATTTGAGGTCAAAAACTTGGATGGCTTTAAATCTCAAGATTTTTTGGTGTTCAAGCAAACTAAGAGTCGTTCTAACTCAATATTATGATATTTTTTAGTTAAGGTATATTCTTAATCATATGGATGATTATATGAAATGTTATTTCATACTAACCACGTAATTTTAGTAGGTACTTATCGTTAATTTAAATAGCTTCATAAATGAAAGGTTAAATTAGAACAAATTAGAATAATTGAAGATTTAATTAAAATTTTTTAAAATTTTAAAATTTAGGGCTTAGAGAAATTTTTAACTCTAATTTCAAGAAAATTATTACATTTGTCATTGTTCATTACCAGAGTTGTTAAATTTCACAAATAAAATTAATAAAGTGGCAGCACATAAAAAATAATTAAAATAATAGAAATATGTGAGATTCTTAATCAATTTATTAAATTAAAAAAATCACACTTAACTCATAATTTTATGGGAAAAATAAAAAATTTTATAAATTGTACTGTAACATTTAGCCAAAAAAAAATTTGTACTGAAACAAAATGCAAAATATCATGGGTTACATGAAGACAAAAAAAAATTCATACAGTGAAGCAGTAAGTCCTCCTAGCCACCTGGAAACCTTCCCATCCATCCCCAATCCGACCTTCTTTCTCTCCCTCTTTTTTTTTTTTTTTTCTTTGGTACAATCTTTCTCTCTCTTTCTCTACTTAACAAACAACTGCTGACCCCCATTTTTCCCTTTCTTTTCCTTTCATTTCCTCTCATTTCCCTCTCTCTTTCTCTCTTTCTCATGAGAGCTTAAGCCTCTTTTTTCCAAAACTGGAAACCCTTACAAGTCCAAACCCAAATGGGAAAGTACATTAGGAAGGCCAAAACGGCAGGGGAAGTTGCCTTAATGGACGTCTCGCAGTCTTCCCTCGGGGTCCGAACCCGGGCCAAAACCCTCGCGCTTCAACGGCTACAAAAATCCTCGAATTCTCCGGAAACGGCGGCTTCGGCTCGGGCTTCCTCAGATGGCTCGTATCTCCAGCTGCGCAGTCGGCGGCTAGAGAAGCCGCCGATTATGGTGCATCACCATGATTCGAAGAGGCAGAAGCAGCAGCAACAGCATGAAGGGATTAAGAAGGAGAGCTGTGGGCATAACCCTAACCCTAGTACAAATTCTCGGGTTCGATTGGCTAGCGAGTTGGATTTGGTCGTGGGAGAGGAAAAGGAGGGTGAAGTTGCAAGAGAAGAAATTGTGCAAGAGATTAATGGAAATGATAATATTAACTATAGTGACCACGACAATAATAACGGAACTAAGGATTTTGGTGGTGTTGAAGCTTCCTCTGGAGAAAATATTTTGGACATTGAAGCTAGAGAGAGGTTGGTTCCTTTCTTTTATTTTTTTTCAAATCTCTTTTTTAGTTCTTTTTTCTTTTTTTCTTTTACATGAAAAACGCTTAAAAATTTTCTCTCTTAATTTTGTTTTTAGGACCTAAGAAAAGTATAAACTTTTACATCAACAGAGTTCCTGAGTTTTGTAGTTTTGATGAAGAATTTTAAATATTTGGACATTTATTTCTTTTAATTTTACTAAATCATGCATCTGTTTTTTTTTTTTTGATTAATGTCTTACACCCTTTGATTCACCCTCCAAAACAGGAAAATAAAAAAAAAAAAAAACTCTTCTAATTCCTGTTGGTATTCTGCTATATTTCCTTTTTGGTTGAAAGAAGGGATTACTTCCCCCTTTCAATAGAATTATACTATGGGTTTTTTAAGTTATTCTGAGTTCTTTTCTGATTGAAGTTTGATCTAAGATTCTCAAGAATCAATTGGTGAAAAGTTTTTTTTTTTTTCCTGAAATATTGTTATTTTATCTCTCTTCTGTTTCTGTAGTCTTCTCCTGTAGAGAAATTAAATCTATCAAGCTGATATCCTTTATTATTTCACAAGGAAAAGTTAGCTATTATTGATTCTTACAGTTTTGGTCACTTCTAAAAGTGATCTTTTCTTTTTGGTGGAAGCAAGCTGCTGTATTATGACAGAAACCATTGTTTCTGAAACAAAACTATATTACTACCAGCCTTCCCTTGCCATTAATAACTTCTTCTGTTTTGTTAATATAATTTATTTCTGCCCTTTGTTTTTTTTTTTTCCCTTCAAATTTGGTGTTTTTATGCTTTTAAAACTTGGGTTTGTCTAATTATGTGGTCAAATAAATAAAATATATCATACACTCTAGGTTCTGTTCTTTAGGCATTTTAGGCATGTATGCTGCTACATTATTCTAACGGAAAGAAACAAAACGTCTTGTTGTTTTCCATGTGGTGGATGCAGTGACTTTTTCGAGATAAAAATTTACAAAACCATTTTGTGTTTGTTTTCTTTTTCTTGGTGATTAATATGCTGCTTGAGCTTATCTCTTTGGAAGACATGGTTCTAATTTGCTTTATATTTCCATGCTTTGAGCATAGGATATTCTGACAAGAGTTATCTAGTTAATGGATGACAATATGATCTTCAGGAGATTCTTTTAATCAGAAAATCTGTCTTTATAGATTTCTATTTATACTTTATTACTCTTTCCTTGATATTATCTGATTTTTCTTTTTAACTATTTGCTTGAGTAATCCAAATTACTATTATAAATTTTATCTTGTTTCAGTTGCAACTTGTAACCCAGTCCCACCCTTCAAAAAAAAAAAAAAAACTGTCAACTCAATTTGTCCTTGCAGAAATAATTGTAGAACAGCTTTATATGATTTTTGTGTATGTTGAACTCCATGTATTTGTGGAGTCTTTTCTGCTGAAATATTTGAGATTGAAACATGTCAAAGTGGAAGCAGGATCCAAAACAAAATGGGTACAGGAGAAATTCCTCCCTGAATCGCAGAGCCTTTTTGCTTGAACATTGATAAAAAGAGTCTCTTCTTTTTATTGTACATTGAGGAACCCTTATGCTTTAGTATTTTCAGTTGTTGTACATCAAATGATTGGTATTTGTTGGGGGGGGGGGGGGGGGTTAGATAAAAGTAGAAAAAAAGAATAGTTAATTATTTTACTGGCTTCCTAGAATTGAGTGTTTACCTTTAGATTCTGTTACTTTTCATTAACTAATAGCTATTGTTTCTGTGCAGGGGCACCAGGGAATCAACTCCTTGCAGCTTGATAAGGGACCCAGAGAGTCTAAAAACCCCTGGTTCTACTACTAGGCCTACCAGCTCAGCAGAGACTAACCAGAGATTACAGAATTCAATGCAGCGACACATTCCAACAGCTCATGAAATGGATGAGTTCTTTTCCATTGCAGAAGAAGAGCAGCAGAGACAATTCATTGAGAAGTATACTATATTTATTTCACCCTGCTTCTCACTTTTATGAATGTTAGAAATTTTTGCACAACACTTTGGGATTATTGTGGTTATGATCTAATAAAAGATGCTGGCTTATTTGCAGGTACAACTTTGATCCTGTGAATGATAAGCCGCTCCCAGGACGTTATGAATGGAAGAAAGTGGACCCTTAGACAACATTAGTGTTCCATCTGGTCGACTTATTTTCCTGCCAATTCTCACTTGATCTTAAATTTAGGTTTGTTCAGCTAGCAGGAATTAGTCTTTAGTTGTAAAGGTGATGGTGTTATTTCCATTTTCCATCACCCTTAATTGTAAAGAAAGAAGTAGGACCGTTGAAAAAAATGTCTAGACTAATGGTCTGTAACATAACAGAGGTAAGAAGTTACACAAAAAATACAAGTCAAAGTCCTTTGTCTAACAGATCATCTAAGAAGGGAAAGCAATGAAGGTGTAGGTTAGAGAATTTAGGGACTTTAGGGTCGGTCGATTAGGATTGTTGATCTGGTACAGAATTTCTTTTTTTTTTTTTACTGTATTTCCCTCTCCTTCTTTGTCTTATACTTGTACTGATGGAACTTTGAAAAACTCTTTGGAATAAACATGATCCCTTCCCTCCTATATTTTGTCTTAAGTTTTGGCCTTTTTTTTTTATCTCCATGTGAGATGATGGAACTCTGATAATTTCATGAAGTTAAAAAGATGATGATAATAATGCGGCCCATCACTATGATCTGAAATGATATTGTTTCATCGAGTCATGACCGAACGCTTCCTTTTAACCTCATTTGAAAGATGGTTGGTGGTGTTTCAGGTAGTGGTGGGGTAAGCTTTTCTTTGTGGTAATGTATTGGAAGAATATTATCTTCTCTATCAGGTCCACACTGCCCTTTTAACTTCTGCACCTTGTTCTGTTGGAGAAATGTAAATTTATACATGGTTAAAGAAGCTGAAATGGAGGAGATTACTTGATTCAAAGGGGTTTGGATTTTTTTTCTTTTGAGCAACTAGAGTTTGAGTTGGAGACTTTTAGTCATGGAGCTGATTTCAATTCCACTATACTAATAGCTCATTGCTTCTTTCTTATTTGCTATGTTCTATTGTAAACATCAAAATTTTCAGCTTTATGGGATTGATTAAGCTCATGAGAATGGACTTATGGGAGGAGAAAAAACCAATTAAGCAATGTGAAGCCACCACCCTTTCAGTCCAAAATGGTGCAAGTCTTTCCCGTTATGATATCTGATAGAATCTTGTTCAACCCCACTAATGACAAAGGAGTTTTAATTGAAAAATGATGGTGCCTTGGTGGTTATCGTGGAGGTGGGTGTTGTTGCTCAAGTGCCATTGGATGAAACTGAGGAATCTTCATTTTCCAATGAAACCTTTTCTTCATTGTTTTCAAAAGCTGTGAGTAGGAATGGGGCTTTTATCAATAACTTTCTACTGGGCATTGATAGTTTGTTTTACCAGCGGAAAGAACGTTAAAAAAGTCTTCGGCATCTTAGAGTAAAGGCTAAGAAGGCATAAGATGTGAGGTGGGAACTCGAACTCCGTTTTTATTCCCAGTTCCCTATCGATGAAACAAAAAAAAAACCGTTAGAAAAAGAACACCCTTTGACTGTTCTTGTATCTATGCATCCAAAATTCGACGACGTCACATTTTGTGGAAATGAAGAAAGCAAGCACCCCTATCTTCCCATTATAATTTTTTTAATATCATTTTTTAATAAAAAACGTGACGGTGAATTGAGGAATTTAGAGCATAAATAAACAAATTATAATTGATTTTTCTTGGTTTATTAAATTTAATAAATTATTATAAATAATATTTTAAAATTTATTAATTAAATGAGTGAATTATAAATATAATAAAATTTTTTTATATTTATTTTTTTACATTTCAAAATATAAATAAATAATTATTAAACTAATAATTTATAAATAAATTTAATTTTTATTTATTTATTAAATTTAATATATTATCATGAATAATATTTTAATATTCGATAATTAATAGAATAAATTGCGAATAAAATCAGGTTCAATTAGTGATGTTCCCGGTTCAATGGAAGAGACGAGTTGACCGATAATTTGTGGAGGATTTTGGATCTTTACTGTTCTTGGGAAAGGGTTGGGGTGAGTCATTTGTTTTAATTGTTTTTTTGGACGTTATACTATTAACTGTAAACAGTACACAGAAAAACTCACCAGCACCGTCTCCTCTTTGGACTTTCAAGGAATTGAAAAGTAACTTTCAAGAAGCCTCTGCTCCCAATTTAATTATAAAAATGTTGCATGTGCCGTTGGAAACAGCATGCCATTTTCACAAAAAAGTGGTCCTCAAAGACAAAACTTTTCGCACTCATTATTACGATCTGATGCTTGTTAACCGTCAGAACAAAAAAAAAAAATGAATTTGGTACAGGATTTGGTAGGAAAAAAAAAAAGAAAGCAGAGAGAATGAGATTTGTTTACCCTATTGGGAAGCTGAAATTATTACAAAATAAAAGAATGCCAAATTGACAGAATTGTAGTATCAAAAAAGAGATAAAATAAAGCAGCTCAAGGGTGTTTTTGGCTTCCACAAATTTTCATGTCTTTTTTTCCTCATTTAATTGAAAAAGTTGAACTTCTTTCATAAAAAAATTAAAAAAAAGTTGAATTTCTCTAAGAAAATCAGAAATGTATTTAGTGGTCAAAGTGAAAACAGTTTTTCAGAGAGTAAAAAACCTCAAAATACGAGAAAAGTAGGAAAGCTGTCTGAAAGTGATTCCAACCTGTATGATTTTTCACAATTTTCCATTAAAGTAAATAAATTATTAAAAAATGAAAATTATTATTAGCGAATGACAAAGTTTTTTCTAATTTTTTTGGGAGACAATTGACCAATAATCCCTGTGTTTGGTACGAGAGAAAGAGAAAAGAAGGTAAAATGTAGAAGGAAAAACTTTTTTTGTCATTTTTTTTTGTTTTTTAAAGAAAAAAATAGGTAGAGTGAAGGAAAATAGATGAATTTTTACCTTTTCATTCTCTTCAAATCTAATTTTTCCAAAGTGAAAGGAAAATACCCATTTAACTTAAATTACCAAATGTTAATTATAATTTTATCTCTAACCTTTTTTTTCCTTCTGTTTTAATTTTTCATACCAAACACAAGAAATCGTAGCTTTGCTCCCAAATTCGGGGCTACTTTTCCAGTTTGATTTATCTTTTCTTGTGGATTCTGCCTTTCAAGTTTGAACAATGATTCGATGCTTAAATCACTAGGGAACAAAAGCATTAAGCCTTCCTCAGCATATTCTTGGTTTTGGAATCTTTGGATCGCTATTTCCCTTAGGACCAGTCTCAAGTAAAAGACTTCTATTAATTGGATTGCCAATAATAATACGATTCCATTTTATCCGATATCATTCCTTAGATTGAATTTGATCCCCCTTCCCATAAAAAAGTGAAAATTATTTATTTATTCAAAGAATATAGAGGATTCAAAAAATATGCCCTAAATATGCCCTAAATTATTTATTATTTAGAGGATTGAAATGTATATATTTAGGGCATATTTTTACAAAAAATAAATAATTTAACTAATAAAAAAAAGTGAAAATTGTATAAAACTTGTTTGTCGGTGGCTAGCTCCTCAGAGAGCCCAACGGGAATGGTCCCACCACATCAAAGAAGGATACATTTTGTTAGAGTCCAACAACTTGATATTTTTCGGTGGCATTTTCGCTGGGCTCTCAACTGAACAATAATGCATAATAATTATCCGATGTACGAAACAGAAGCAAGTTCATGCATGGCCCATTGGTTCTGATTGGTGGCTGGGGCCCTTTCTATTAGTCCAAATGACTGAGTCCGGCATGATGTCATGCGCACCAAATCTACTGTCACGTGTCAAGTAGGCTATGGACCGCCCTTTTCCTAGATCCAGTATCAACTTTCCTCAAGCAGAGCAGTGAAATAATTCTAATGCGAGGAAAAAAGGAAACTAAAGGACTCGTTACTATAAAATCTTTCTTTTTGCTAGATTAATGACAATGCTCAACTTTCCTCTTTCTGTGTCTCTTCTGGTGAGTTCAAACCTACAATGTCCACCTTTAGAAAAGGGAAGGAGTTGGTTTATCATTACAAGTTTTTCAAAAGAAGAATCACAACTTTTCCCTTTTCTTCTCCCCCGAAAAGTGCCATCCAATTTCTCTGCTGCTTTAGAGGCAATAACAATCACACTATCTATGTGATACAGATTGAATCACCGTAGAAGCAAGACAATCATTCTTTGAATTCAACATTTAATTTAATTAATTTATATAACCACTTTCTCGAACTTGAAGTTTAATTTAATTAATTCATTCAAGACAACATTTATAAACCCTTATCCATATCCATTTTTAGACTACTCAAGGCAATGCAGCTAAACCCTCTATAATTTATAAACAGGCTCATATTGGAAGATCCCTAAGACGCAATAAAATCATTAAGTTCAACAGGTCTTACAAAAAACATTACAGTCTTCCCGGCCAATCTCATCTTCAAAGTCAGGGTAACAAAAATGCATCTGTCATGCATCATGGATCTTAAGATCATGCAACTAGATTTAAGGCTACTTGAGGCTTCTCATCATTTCCAATTATACTTTTCCTGTTTTGCATTCAATAAAAGTAAAGTGTCTTGAATTATATCCATTACCTGAGGAAAGGCAGTAATAACAACAACATAGGGACAGGATAGAGTCTTCAATAACAACAACATAGGGACAGGACAAACAGTCTTCAATGAATAGTAGAAATGAAACACAAGTTTTTTGTCATCAGAACACAATCTATATCCTTAAGATGATTTAGTGTAGATTCGGATACCAACAGCCAATCCCAAGATGGCTAGGGGAACTAAGAATTGCAGGAGCTTGATGATGAACTCAGATGTCTTGTCCTGATTATAGTGAGGCTGTTTTGGAGGTTTATATTTGGTCTTCTTTGGGATAGTTGAGACATCAATCTTTCCAACATGGTATTTATCCATCATGTCTCTGGCACTATCGCTGTGGCCAACATCCTCAAAATCATCAGTGGCATCCTTGCCTGTAAAATTTTCATATTACAACAATGTCGAGCTCTTTGCTATACATAATTAAGAAGCGTAAAGAAAACTATAAAGAAAGTCTACAAAAATAGACTCAAAGTTTGTACCTGTCGCTGATAATAACACTTCATCACCCCCAGGGTGGTCTTCCAAAAATTTTGTCACATCATAAACCTGTTTCAAGAATTCGAGACAGACACCAAAATGAAGTAAAAATTACACAATATATAGAAATTGTGCTCCTCAAAAGTTTCAAAAACACAACATGTAATCTTTCACTAATAAATTATGATGCTAATGTTCAGAAAGACACAAGTACAGAAGTTTGTCAAAGTTATCTTTGATTGCAGCATATAAGGGCTCTTGTTTTCTTTTCAGATTGACAAGCCCAAATCGAGCTTTTACCACATAAGAGCAAAGATAGAGAAGAGCTTCCGGTTTGCACAAAATAATGAAGCAATTAAAGAAATCATGGATTAATCCACATCCACAAGAGAGAACAACTACAAAAGCAAAATCATTTGGGATTAATCATTTGGGAAAACAATAACAATTGGAGCACTCAGCAAGTGCATGTCTGTTGATTTCTCACTGTTTTTTTTTTCTTTGGATAAAAAATAAGCTTCACTTTAACCTTGATTCTTCTCTCTATTCTATTTATATTATTATGTTTAAATATGAAGCTAATCAGAATAAGAGAGTACTTCAACTTTTATATATCTTAGGTTCTTCAGAATCCAAATGTTTATGTCAATTATTTCATCCGGTTTCCATGAAATAAACTCAAGCAGTAAAAGAATAGAGTCAGGCTACTTCAGTTCTGGGTTCAACCAGAGAGTTGGGTTAGAGGCAGTTCATACTTTGTGACGAAGTCTAATCTTCACAAAAATAAGGAATATTACTAGAATTATCTGAACATTAATCACAAGAAAAATCTTGAGGCTTATATTAACACTCGTCCTTTTATTTTAATTTTGGTTTAAAAGTAGCAAGAACGCTCAATTATGCTTCTTTTGGAGTCGGTATGTTTCGTAATTAAAGCACTAGGACTGGGAAAATAATCATATTTGATTTTAGACATTTAAATTGTATGTAAATAGAATACAACAAGACATTCACTCCTTGGGGGAGGGGAAGGCTTTGGAACTCACTATGGCCATTAACACAAAAGAATTGTATAGTCAAAATTGCCATGAAGAAGCAAAAGGTCAACAAGTGACTAACTGAAAATAGAAACAGAATTCACCTATTCAATCAAACTACAAGGCCAATTACCACATTAAAATTTATAAAAGTAATTCCAAATCTATCCCTTGAAAAATCAAACAAAAAATCACAAAAGCACCATATCCCAAAACAAAGAAAAGCCCTCCCCATTTAAGCGGTTAACTTCAAGGAGCCTAAGCACTCAAGCTCCGTTATGTTTTATTGAAAATTCTCATCAGCTATCCAAACTGACATAGACCTTTAGTGGATCTGAGCATGCTTTTCATAACGTAGTCCTCTAAGAAATCATGTCAACAACAACATATTGTTGGAGCTGTGATAACTAACAAAAGATGTAACTCCTTTATGATTCCTTAACTAAATCACCAAATCATTGAAATACCTCAAAAATCCTCAGTTAATCTGCATCCAACTAGGGTGCATTCTCTAAGTATCAACCTCTTAAGCTTAAATGAAAACTCTCCCTTTTAATGTTTACCATATTTTTAGAAAAACTAGACCTACAATAGTATTGTTGCAGCTTCAGATCTAATTGTGAGACAAAAAAAGGTTAAAAGAATTTACCATACTTTTAAAAAGGCAAGACCCACAATGGTATTGTTGCAGCTTCAGATCTAATTCTGAGACAAAAAAATAAATAAAAGTTTGATAGCTCTTCTTAGTTGACTCTAGAGGTTATCTGCGTGTGATGTGGATACAAATGGGGCAGTAGGGTATCCATGGACACACCCAAAGATTGGAAAACAAGAAAATTTGAAGGAAAACTTTTTCCTAGACATCCTAAAATTTTCTGCTGGACACCCTTTCCGTTGATAAAATTGGTAAATAAATCAGCAATTTTTTCCATACATTATAAGTGAACACCCCAGAAAAAAATTCTAAATCCACTACTGCACCCTAGGCCCCCTATGCCGAAGGTTTGACAAGGTTATCAAAATGATCTTTGCCACAACTCACAAGACAAAGCACATCAATGTGACCCTTTGCATCATGGCTTACGGGATTAAGGATCTGATTTGAATGTAAAAAAGACATGTTACTTCAAACGTGCAAATCAATGTTTCACGCTGGCTAACAGATTTAACCAGAACAGCTTAGTTCAACCGCAATAAAAATAATTTAAATTCCACATGGATCAGGAGATTTGTAGAGATCCACACCCACCTTGCAAGGCATTGTAGGAATTGTGGGAATGTTTCACGGTTTTATCACAAAAGACACGTCATATATAATATCCCTATACGAGATTGGAGTGATACAAGATTAAACTTAAAAAATAAAAAAAACAAAAACAAAAAGAGACACCATAACACAGCAAGCGCTAGAAAATAAATTCCAATAAACTAATAAGTCCAACCACATTCAAAAACTCCAATACTTAATACATAGGTCCATAGATCAATTAAAAATCAACAATTAAAACATTCAAAAATGCAAAAAGTGAAAGTACCCAACATGTCAAAAACATGCAAAGTCCTTAACTTTGACAGTAAACAAACATATCAAGCCATCAGAATAGAAAAAAAAAAAAAAAAAAAGATGACCTTGCCATTGATGATGAGCCAGCAGTCTTTGCGGCTGTTGTGATCAGAGACTTGAGCCAAAGTGAACACCTTTCCATCACCACCCATTTTGCTTAGCTTTGCTTCTGTTTAGCGTCTCTCTTTCTCACTGTATCTGAAGTTGTACTTGAGCTGTTAAGCAAGAGACAAGATAGGTAAATAAAGTAAAAAGAAAGGATGTCAAAGAGAGAGAGAAAGACAGATAAAAAGATGGGCTTCCTATCTGTTGGTTAAAAACTAAAAATTTTTTAAAAGGGATGAGAAGGGATTAATTCTGTGGGCTAACCAGCTAGTCAAGAAGTTTCTGGTTTCTACTGTTTCAATTTCATTTTAGTAGTGGCTAACTTAAATTGGTGAAGACCAGTAAATGTTGGAAGGGAAAAGAGGGGAGATGTCATTTCCGTATGAGTTTAGTTTGGTGGGTAGTTGGGTGGATGGGGTGCCTTTGGTAGGCCATTCATATCTTGTGGGAATTGTTTGGTCGATCAGTCCTCTCCTTTTCATTTTTATTTTATTTTAAAAATTTTGCTAATTAGTGCATTAACAACGCTTTTTAAAATTGTTAAATGATTATTTTTAATTACTAATTCATTTTTTATACTGATATTAAAATTTTTTCAATTTTATAAACGAAATAAAAATTATCACTTATCTAGATCCTAATAATAAAATTTATTAACTTTATTATAAAGAAGCATTTGATTTACGAAATTTTAAATTTCAAAAAAAAAAAAATTTAGAGGGGAAGTAATATCAAAAGAAAATTAGTGATTCCTTGGTTTTTATTTACTTAGGCAATGCAAGATATTTGAATTTGACTTACAAAAATGTAAGAATACCTGATAAAGGCTTTTACCATATTATTTTTTATAACATATTAATAACACATAACATTTATAATATTAATATGTGAATAATATGTTATTATCTTTATGCAAAGAAAATATATTAAGTAAATGTATTTTAGATTTTTTATGTAATAATATAATTTTTCATGTTTTTAATAAAAATTACATTTTATGTTTTTTTTTTTATCTTAAAATGACGTTTTTATTGAATTTTAAAAAATATTTTTTTGTATTTTAAACAGAGACTGTATTTTTTTATCTTAGAAATGTTGTCTTTATTAGATTCTAAAAGATATAGATTTTTCATGTTTTAACAAAAACTATGTTTTTATCACAAAAACTATGTTTTTATCTTAAAAACAACGTCTTTTTAACAAAAATTGTGTTTTATATTTTAGAAACATTATCTTTATTGAATTTTAAAAAATAATTTTTTTCATGTTTTCAACAAAGACTGTATTTTCTAGCATTTTCTATTTTAGAAATGTCATCTTTGTTGAATTATGAAAAATATTTTTATTATATTTTTAACAAATATTACGTTTTATATTATAAAAAATATCAGTTTCAGATAATCAATTACGATGGTTTATCAATAACTACATTTTCATAACAAGAAACGTAGTTATTAATATAGAAAAATAGAAACAAAAATTTAGTTTTATCAATTATTATGTTTTTTACATATAAAACTTAGTTAAAAGTAAAATAAATATTATATTATATTGACTTTACAACAATAAATATATTTTTATATAAAAAAATTTATGTTTCATTAATTATTACATTTTTATATTAAGAAACGTTGTTGATATTGAAAATATCAAATTTATTTTATTATTATTTTCTACCATCAATTATTTTTCATATGTTAAAAACTTAATGCTTATGAAATTATAAAAAGAATTCAAAACCCTAATTTAAAACAATTTATTATTGTTTTTTTTAAAAGCATTTTTTTACTATAATTAATTTTTGCTTATAATATATTATAACATATGACTACATTTCTAACTTAATAACGTTGTATAAATGAAAAATTTTTTGATTTATTTAGATTTTATTTTATGCATCTTTTAACTACATTTATAATTCAAAAACATTGTTTTTTTTTAATTTATTAATTGAAAATAAATATTTAAATTTATAAAAATTTAAATATATATGATTATTGTCAAGTGCCTAATCATGTGGCTAAGAATATAGCTTTGTATGTCAGAATGGATTTAGATTTATTATACAATTACATTGATTTTAAATGAAAAAGTAAACTATCAAAAATTATTATTAAGGTAAAAAGTATGATAAATTTTACATTTCTCCTGGAATCTTAAAAAATTTTAAGGAGAGGTAGGTTTTTAATTCAAAGTTACCACCATCTTTTTTTGACATTATTGAGAATCTTAAAATAACCCAAGAATCAAATACCATATATCAAACTAAGGAATCTAATTATGAAAAATAAAATTTTAATCAATAATCTAATTTTTCTTTGAATCAAACACCCACTAAGTGAGTATGATAATTTCTGTATATAATAATCTTTAAAGTATTTTAAGACACTAGCAAAGAAAAAAAATTTGTTAAAAACTATCACATGTCTTGACCATGACAATAAAGTTTAATCTTAAAATTAATACATTTCTTTATGTCGAATGTCTCTACGTAGTTTCTCTCACAAACTATCAACTTACAAAACTATCATTGATTGTTTTCATTCTTTTTGTATGCAAAATTTTATGTTAAAATGGATAATGCAAATGACCAATAAGGGAATATTTCTTAAAAAAAATTATTATCAAGCATTATGGTTCAATTTAGGCAATAATTTTTTTTAAAGAAAGCTCATAATTTTTTTCTTTTCTTTTTCAGAAAGAAACCTAATCATACTTACTTAAGAATTCTATTTATGCACTCAACATAGATTAAATAGATATTTCTTTAGAAAGTTAGTTTATGATTATCAAAGGTATACCTAAGTAGAGTGGAATGAACACAAAACTAGAATTATTATTTTTTTTTTTACAAAATAAAATGTTTATTTTTGGCAAATTTTTAAATGAACCTTCATAGCTAACGTATTCTAGTAACTTGCATGCATTACTTCTAGACTTTTATTTTCCGTAATGTTTCATTTTCAATAATGTAATTTAGAATTTTGATTTTTTTCATCACGATTTTTGAATTTATCTTAAATCCATTCATCCATTAATATTCTATTCCAAATAAATGAAATTTGTATGTGGCATTTTGATGGATATGCACATGATTGTCTTCGTTCAAATTTTAATGATATGTCGATGAATAAATGAATTTCGAACAAATTCAAAATATCATTGATGAAAAAATTAAATGCTTTATATAACAAATGAAAATAAATTTTTATAAAAATGTAACAAAGTAATAATAAAATTTACTCGGTAAATTTTTAAGCTACCCTAATTTGCAGAAAACACCATATATATATATATATATATATATATATATATAACCTTAGAACAGTTTGTCTTCATTTCTCCTCGTGTCAATATTAAAAATAAAGATGAAAAATGGAAAGCATATTTTAAAAATAAACATGCTTGAAACTAAATGAAGTATTTTTTATAATAATAATAATAATAATTAATTACACTTTTGGCATTTGAATTTTGAAAAAATGTATAAATTGATACTTAAAGAAATAAAATGTACAATTTGCATATTGAACTTTCAAATAATATATCATTTAATCTAAATTCTAATATTGTTAACATAACTTATCTCTCTTGTATCTAATCAGTATAATTTTATTATATTCATGTTATTTGTTAAATAAAAGTATTAAATATTTTGTAAAAACTTTCATATGGATGTCATGTGACAAAAAATAATTGATCGGTTTTAGACTTTTTTTACGGTTTGGGTAATTAAACAATATATATTTTTAATTTATATTGAAAAAACTATGGATAATATGTTTGGTAAACACAAAATTTGATAATAGTTGTCAAACATCACATATGTAGGCTGATATGATTAGCATGATTGAATTTAGGTTAATATGGTATATAATTTGAAAATTTAGAGTGCAAATTATGTTTTCTCTAATAATAATAATAATAATAATAATATAATAATAATAATAATAATAATAATAATAATTGATAAGAGAAGTACTTAGAAAATGTAATCAACTTTGTTATTAAAAGAAATTGCAAGCTTTGGGAATATGAGAAGAGATTATAAGTCTAGAAATATGAGAAGATATTGCAAATGTAAGAATTTAAATCTCAAGCTTGCTAGATATTACTTTTTAAGAATTATCATATAAATCAACTAAGTTAAATCTCAAATTCAAATGAGATCATCTTTATACGATGAAGAGAGGGTTTGAAAAGAAAATTGGATAATCCAAACTATAATAATTATAGTTAAGTAGCAAAAAATCTATAGTTAGGACCGATCAAAAAATATTTGAACCACACTACATATTTTTAAATTCTCAAAGATGTGGTTATGTGTTTATGAAACATCATCCTTAATTATTATTACTATGATAAAGAATTTTTTGGAGTTAATCGCTAATTAAAATCCACTTTTTATTATATCTCTTATTGTCCCATCTTTTAAAAAAAGTTATAATTCTTTTTCAAGAATAAATTTCGCAATTCGTGTGTTTAATCCATATTTTATACAAAAACTACGTGTTATAATTTGTATCAACATGAAAATATGAAATATGTTTTTTAGTTTTATTAAACGGATATAGTTATTATTAAAATTTTAAACTGTGTTACCTTCGTATTCTTTTTCATATCATATTTATATTATGTCACTATATCATATTTTAAATTATCAAGTCTACTCATAAGGAATAAATAATATTATATTTATCGACCCTGCAACCCATCACTTAGGCCTGTAAGCCAGACTTGTTTCAAGCCGGACTGGGCTTTTGTATCAAAGCTTATAATTGACAAATAAGTTAAAGTTTTTTTATTTATTTTAATTCATACAAGCAACATACCTATGCATTGCTTCCAGTCCAAAATTTTTATTTATAGTTAATAATATCATTATGAATTTAACAAATCAGTAAGCATAATTTTGTTTATAATTTTTAATAAAAGTAATAATCAATAAAAATTCATCAACTAATTTATGGATAATATATGCATTTTATTCTCATAACCTATATAACAAATCTATATTCAATCTTTTAAATTTATCTTAATAAATATAGTTAAAAATATTAAAATAGATAATTAAAAAACCAAAAAAAAAGTTAAAATTAAAAAAAAAAAAGGAAAAGGTCTAAGCAAAAAGAAAAGGAAAAGAGAATCAAATAGGGGTGTCAAGTGAACACCTCCACTTAAGAATGACAACAAGTAGGATAGGGAAGAGTTTATATTTGTTTCAACATCAAATTATTATTTTTTACACTTGACCCCATATATATAGATAGATGTATAACTCGCATTTGGTCCGACTTAACAAAAAATAAAATAAATTCAATACTGTAACATCCATGAAATATTATTTTTTAATATAAATTATATCTTAATTATATATAAATATAG